AGAGGATCCAGATGTTGAACCTCTGGTTGCTTGTTTCTTCAGGCTCCCAGTCTTAGCAGCCTGATGAACCCGTTCTGGTTGGTTCTGGTTCCCCTCCTCTGGGTCCAATCGGACCCACATAAACCTGAAGGTTTTCCATCAACCAGAACCTTCGTTGGTTCTGACGGACTTCCTGTTTGACCCGGTAGTCCAGTAAAAGGTTCTTACCCGTTTCCTGTGTGTCTCCCTCTAGTGCCCACAGCCGGGATGACCCGTCTGGTTCGCTCCAGAACCCACTCGGCCTCCAGTGCGGGTTCCTCGGAGGGGCCCCGGGGCCGCAGCAGCGTCCTGGAGGGCGCCGACCCCCAGAACCCAGCGGTCCAAACCATAGAGATGACGGCGTAGAACCAGAGCCGGTCCAGGTTCTCCAACAGCCTCGGTTCTTCCTGCAGGATCTCAGAGTGGAGTAGAGCGGACCTGTGTGGTTCTGTTAGTTCCCCTCTGTGGGGCCCGGCCGTTACCACGGTAACGCTTTCTATCTTCATGAGTTCAGGTGTTGTTCTGTGGTTCCGTTTCTCTTGGGTTAGATGTTCTTTTCCTTTGGACTCTATCTTTCTGTGGGATGTTTATAGAAATCTTCGGTTCTGACTCTCAGACTTTTGGGTCAAACTGTTTCTGTTTGGACGGAAACCTTCAATTAGACGCCAGAACACCTCGTTACAGCAGAACCCCCCGACAGTCACGGCCCAATCGGACCCTAGTTTCCCCGTTTTATATCAGTCCGCATGCTGAATGGTGGCAGTGAAGTGGTTCTGGATCTGATGGATCCCCTCTGTGATGTTAAATGGACCCAAACAGAAGCCGCTCCACATCCCGGGGTCCGATTCATGAAGCAGGTTTAACAGATTCACATCTTCAACTCTAAATTAGTCTAGCCTAAAGTCGGGAACTCTGAGTGTTCGGTTTTATAAACAGTTAGCCAATTCTAACTAGATCCACTCAGAGTTAAACGGTTCGTAACAAATCTGAAAATTCATTATCAGGGGAACACAGCTTTAGCGAGTCACCATGACAACAGGAAGTGCCTATTTCACTCCACTGGAACAAGAGGTTTTAATTAAAAGACAGAGAAACAGGCTAGAGCTGCAAAGGAGAGGAAGATGGAGAAGACTGTTGCTCCAGTTAATGTGTAAGTTTATATAAAGTGATCTATGGCAGGCCGTTTTATCATTTATTAAAATCACTCTCCTCTCTGTGGTTCACTAAAATAAGATTCTCCCTGATCAAAATCCCACTGAACTGTAATAATAGATTTTCTAAATTACATTTTTGAAGCAGAAACAGAATTTTAGAAAGTAAAAAAAAGATAAATTATAATAAGAATTAAGTTTTATATATCTATAAATGTTTACACATTTAAAGTGGCCGTTCTGACATTTATCAGCTTGACTGAAAATGTATTTATGATATCTGAAAAATATTTTTTAATAGTTAAAGTAATACAAATAATAACCAGTAATATTAAGAATATGGAGATCTGGAGATTTCTAGACATCCGGGATGTTTATTCTAGATGTGGAGAATGTCATTTTGCTTGAAATTGTCATTTAGACACAGAAAAATGTTTTTATTCAGATTTTAGGAATTCAGTAAAACTAATACATGTCAAAATGGCTTGCCATAGTTTTACTGTAAAATTATTACGGGATTTTTTTTTTTATGGTAGTAGATCAACGTATCTATTTAGATTAAATCTTCTGTCAGCAGGTGAAGAAGTATAAAAACGTTGTTCTAATAAATAGAACCTGTTTATCATCTCATGGGTTCCTCCTCATGTTGATTCAGTCTGTTTTACAGTTAAGAGGCTGTTTGAAGCTGCGCTTCGGATCTTATCATCCCAATAAATTATTAGCGGCTATCAGTCCCATAGAATGGCTTCAGATTGATCGGCAATTAATGCCGATCATTCTTTAATAAGATCCTCATCAAATGGACGGGAAATGCTTGTTTTTAAAACCTAATGTGTCTGACAGACCCAGTGAATTATATATATATATATATATATTCTTGCACGTAACTACGACAGAAATCTGACTAAATCAGCAAATAAAGCGGCGTGATTGGCTGTAAGGAGAGCGGAGATAGAGGACACTGAGTTTACTGAAGGAAACCTGCTGCTGACCAGGTTAGCTCTGGGAGGAGGTTACTATGGCAACAGAGACAGAGGATGAGGAAACTCTCTTTGTGAAACGGAGAACTCAGAGTTTCCCTGATTTCAGGTTTAGAAAACTTTCAGTCAACCTGCTTTGTGAAACGGACCCCTGGGTCCCAAACGCCGCTGGTTTATATGTGCTCTTATTTTGGCGGGTTGTGCTGAAGCATGGATTTCCTGTTTGTAATGAAATAAAGATGATTTCTCAGAACCTGGAAGCAAAGTTTTCATACTTCCTTGCCGGGACGACCGCACAGAACACCCCCCATCTCTAAGTAATGAGTGAAAATATTAAAGGTAGAGTTTTGAAAAGACCCTCCCTCCCCACTGCGAAAAATAATAAGAACATTCAGGTAATTTAGCATTTGCTTTTAGAAAAAGTAACGTACAAAGCAGCGTTAGTCTAATGGTCTTGCTTAAGGACCCACACTGGCAGCTCATTCCCCCCGGCTGGGATTCGAACCCAGGACCTCCTGTGTATGGGTCAGCTGACGTACCATTTGAGCGCACGTTCTCGCACACCTATTAAAGACGTGCGAGAACGTGCACAAGCCCATTTCTCCTCATGCACGCTCTGTTTAAAAGCGTCTTACTTTCCAAACGATTTGCCATTTTTCCACCACGTCAGACTCAGCAGCTGTCAGTGAAAATGGAGACGAGCGCGTAGGACCGCCTTAAACGCATCACCAGAATGATTGACAGGAGGAAACAGAACATCCTCCACTAAACCTTTAAGGCTTGAACCCAATTATTGTCCAAATGATCAGAACCGAGCCTTCTGTGAAGCAGCTGCTTCACTTTTAGCCACTAGGGGGAGCTAAACCTGGAATGAACATGCTGTTACTTCCAGGATTAGCGCCCCCGCAGGCCACTGGCAGTACTGCACTGTCACTAAATGACCCAGTCTGTGTTCTGGTTCTGGAATCAGACCAGTTTGGACCAGCAGGTCTAAAGTTTCTGGTAAAGATGAGAAAACGTTCATCCTCTGGATGAAATCCTCCACCAGAGAACCAGCCGGGGGCCGCGGCTAACAGCTGTTAGCTTAGAGAGCTGTGAGATCGGCAGAGAAAGGAGGTCGATGAGGTTTGATCTTCTCTCTACGTCTATTTCACCCTCTGAACTTTCATTATTCATCTATGATAATGGAAACCCAGTTTTGCATCTATGACTCCTTTAAATCTCCACGAACATATTAGTTTAAAGGTATAAATAATGATCTATTGATTACTCCTCGCTGACCGGACGTTTCCTTTAAATGACATCATTCTGATGGGCTCAGCCAGTCCGGCTCTGATGATCCGGTGTTTCCTGCAGGACCAGAGCTGTGGGGAACCTCCTGAGCTCAGATGTTGAAGGATTAGAAACGAAGCAGCTTCTGAAATGTCGTTTTATTCTGAAGCTTTAGAGAGAAAATAATCAAACTGATTGATGTGAGGAAACGTCGTGGTTCTGAACTCTGTGGTTAAAGAATGTTTATCAGCAGAACGTCTGAAGGTCCAGTTTACAGAAGGTGGAGAACCTTCCAGGTGGTTCTGTAGACCCAACCAAACAGGCGAGCTCAGTCTGAGGGTCCGCGGCGGTTCAGCTGGCAGCAGGGGGCGCCGTCTTACTGCAGAGCCGCCCCAGCAGGCCGGCCATCTGCAGCAGGGAGTTAACGCCTTCAGCGACCCGCATGTGAGTGAAGCCGATCTCCTGCGGAGCAACAGAACAGGTTGAGGCGGCGGACTGGACCCGCCCCCGACCCGACCCGACCAACCAGAACAGGAGGAGCAGCCTCACCTTGATGAACTCCAGTTTGAGGAACTCTGCCATCTGGTAGGTCTTGCAGACCCTGAAGATGTTCCCGATGATGTCCTCTGGGGAGTAGCCCAGCGCCCACAGCTGCTCCACCACCTGGTAGGCCGCGTCGATGTTCCCCTCCACGCAGTGTCCCAGCATGCTTTTCACCAGCAGGGGGTGGGGCTCGTCGCACACCTTGAAGACGTTCTCGCTGTTGATGTAGCCGAACCCAGAGTTGGTGGACTGCAGGTTGTTCAGCGCCTGAAGGAGGAGCAGAACCGGCGCCGTCAGCACAGAAGCACGCCATGCCTCAGAGCCGCGCTCCTGACTCCGCCCCCTCACCTGTCTCATGTCCCCCTGTGCCGTGAAGATGACGGCCTCCAGCCCGTCGTCGGACACCGCCAGGCGCTCCTTCTCCACCACCTCCTGCAGCCGGGCCAGAATCTGTCCGTCCGTCAGCTTGGAGTAGCGCAGCACGGCGCAGCGGGACTGGATCGGCTCGATGATTTTATCGGAGGCGTTGCACGCCAGAGCGAAGCGCGTCGTCTTGGAGTAGATCTCCATGATCCTCCTCAGCGCCTGCTGGGCTCCGTCTGTCATGCTGGAAGCAGAAGAGTAGTTTATTTCTATAGCTCCAATTCACATCATGTCATCTCAGGTCACTTTATAGATCCAGTTCACCAGATCATCCAGTCAGATTGATTCAAAGTTTTCTATCTAAGGAAAACCAGCTGATTGCATCGACTCATTGACTCTTCAGCAATCCCTCACACTAAGCATGCTTGTAGCGACAGTGGAGAGGAAAAACTCCCTTTGAACAGGAAGAAACCTCCAGCAGAACCAGGCTCAGTGTGAGCGGCCATCTGCTGAGGCCCACTGGGGTTCAAGGAGACAGAAGCAGACATAGAAAAAGAAGCATAGATACAAAAGGCAACTGTCAACCAGCTCCACAGGCGGCCCCGTCCAGGAAACACACAGCCAGGCAGACGAGCTCCGAGCCAGCTCCCATGTCAGAGGATGAAGAGAGCACATCCAGTTAGTCACAGTCAGAGAAACAGGACTACACTGGAAAACAGGCCAAGCTCCAACATCTAGAAACAAAGGTGTTGATGGCAGCAGCACAGCTGATATTTCTCTCCAGGATGGAGTCACAGCCAAACAGGAACAGACCAGATGAAGCTACTATGAGAAAAAGCAGAGAGAGCAGAAGGTTAGAGATTGAACTAACAGATTCTGCAGAGTGGGAGAATAGAGATAGAATGAAGCAGAATGATGAAAAAGGGGTCCCTATGTCCTCCAGCAGTCTAAGCCTATAGCAGCAGAACTATAGAGATAGATCAGGATAACCTGAGCCACTCTAACTAGAAGCTTTATCAAAAAGGAAAGTTTTAAGCCTAGCCTTAAAGTAGACAGGGTGTCTCTCTATCTGGAAGGAAGCTAAAGGGAAAGAAAACAAACACAAGGGGGCAATAGAGAGCAGCACAAGAAATACAAAACCACTCAGAAACATGAAGGTGGATGCTTTGGTGGTGCAGTGGTTAGCGCACAGGAGCCATATAGGGAGGCCTCAGTCCTCTGCATGATGTAACCGGCGTGTGTTACATAAGCTGCTCTGCTATTCTTATTTTCTATTCAGTTTGATGAAATTATTGGCTAAATCTGAGGAGCAAAGGCTTTGCCTCATGCAGAAGGTCTCCAATAATGGAAATCAGCATATTTGTTTGACCAGATTCCCTTTTATGAGAGGAAAAAATGTATTTTTGCACTTTTGGCACTGTGCTAAAATCCCATTTCCTCCTAGCTCACTGCTCACTAAAACCTCTGTGGAACAAACCTGCTTCAACTGGTTCAGTCCAGATTAGCCTGAGTTCTAGTCAAGATGTGGATCTATAAAGACTGAGGGTTCATCCACAGTTTCAAATCGGCTTTCATGATGTTTTGCAGAGTTTATTTTGGAAAAAAATTACAGAGGCTAAATATTTTTCATTTTT